TGTGGTTTTTTTTCCCTTTCTCACCCTCTCTTTGGAAGTAATTTATTTATAGACATACGCCTATGCATCTGGTTGAATTTAATTTTTGTTTTTTTGGAACATATTATAGTGTCTAGAGAGTGCAAAAAGAGTGTAGATAACACAGTCCAGTAACAATTCGAATCAATGTTCGTTGGATTAAATGACAATTACAGAACTCGAACTATAGGTTCGTAAAAAACCCGAAAAGGTCCGTAAATTTGCCACAAGTCCGTAAAAGTCAGTTTTTTAAAAAAAAGGTTCGTAAAGTCTCTAATTTGATTGAGAAAAGACGAAAAGTTCGTAAATTGTATATATACGATATAATTTGGAGAATTTGAAAGAAATTATAAATAATTGCAAAAATTCAATTACTTTCAAAAGTAATAAAATTCTTCGCTAAAATTCAATTATTTTTAGAAATAATTAAATTCTCTAAAATTCAATTCTTTTCAAAAATTGTAATAAAATTCTTGTCAAAAATTCAATTTTTTTCAAAAAGTTTTCCTCAATTCAATGATTTTACTTCCTCATAGAGGAAGTATTTAATATCTATTATTTTAATAAAATTTTTGAAAAGAATTCAATTATTTAAAAAAAATTTCATAAAATTCTACGCGAACCTTTAACTATTTTCATAAAATTATAAAAATTGCATAGGAATTCAATTATTTACAAATTTTTTTATAAATTCCTTCGCAATCATTCAATTATTTTCATAAATAATAAAATTTTTACAGGGATTCAATTATTTTCGTAAATAATAAAATTCTTTTTAAGAATTCAATTAATTTCGTATAAATAATAAAATTCTTTTTAAGAATTCAATTATTTTCATAAATAATAAAAACTCATTGCAAAATTTCAATTATTTTTAATACAATTTTAATCGAATTCCTCGAAAAATGTATAGGGTAAGTGCGTCAATTGCTGCGGGTGCTTTAGTTTCTGCGGCATTTTAATAATTTAAGTGAATACATTTGTTCAGGGCACAAATAATTTTGAAATTTTTTTTAAAAATTACTTAACGATGTAAGTTTTAAAATAGATATAGGAAGTATATACCAAAACTTAATATTTATGTATTTTATTTTAATTAAAAGTTGACGTGTGCAAGGTTTTATTTATTTTCATTGTTAACTTTGCTGGCAGTGCAAAAATACCTACATAAAAAAGGCTTTATTATTGTTTTTAGACTTAAAGTGGTTATTATTATGATGATTTTAAATAAAGAAAACCTTGTTTTAAAAGAAAAATTAAACTTTACTTTATTTTTGTCTGTTATTATATTTTATTTTTAAGAGTAGTAATTAACACAGAATTTGGGCTTGATTTAATTTCTGCGCCCTCAGAAAATCAACTAAGACTGGTTACAATAGACTATCTATTTTGAAAAAGAGCAAGAAAAAATTATGAAAATGAAAGAAAAAATGAAGATTATGGAGGAAAAACTAAAGAAAATTTAATAAATACATAAATTAATTAAGGAAGAATTCTGTTATTAAGTTTTAACTAAATGTTTCAAAAATGTGATAATTCAGAAATTATTTGTTACTTTTGTTAATATATGATATATATTTATTTTTAATAAATTTATATTCTATTCAATTAAACATTGATTAAAATCATTGTCCCATTTTGATTTCATAGTAGTTTGCGGTATTATACACATAAACACGAAATTATGCGCAGAAACTGACCCACAGGAATTAAATTCGCGCAGCAACTGATGCGCAGCAACTGACTCAAACGCGCAGAATTAAACGCATTGAATATTATTTTTAATTCATTAAATTTATTAAAATAAATTATATTTTAGAGATGTTATTTATTGTAAACATATCTTAATAACACAAACTACAAATTTAATAAGACATAAGTTCAATTTGATCAATATAAAAATTATATTTTATAGTTAAAAGACGTCTTGACCAAAATACCGCAGGAATTAGTACACTTACCCTATAATTAGTCTTAAAAATTTTATAGAAATTCGTCAAAAGAATTCAATTCTTTAAAAAATTTTTTATAAAATTCTTTACGAGAATTCAATTTTAAGAAACATTCAATTGAATGTTTTAATTCAATAAATTATCTATTTTTGTATTTAAATAATTGAATTCTCGTAGAATTTTATAATAAAAACTTACTAAAAAAATTATTTTCAGTTAAAATTTTAGATAATTAAATATTAAAAGCAATATAGCGTAAATGTTTAGAAATAATTGAATTTTAAAAAGGTTTCAAATTAAAATGTTTGAAAATTTGAATTTTTCATGTTTTTTTTAATAACAATTCTGTGAAATTAATTGTTTTGAAAATGTTTAATTGCTGATTTTTTAAAACATTTTTTGAAGTTTTTATTTTATAATGTATATTTGCGGTACCGTATAATTAATTTAAGAATTTATGAATAATTTGAATTTTTGTAAAATTGAATTGTAAACAAATGAATTTGAAAATTCACTAAAGAACTTTTTCAAAAATTATAAAAAATAATAATGCATTTATAGAAGAATTTTAGTTAAAAACACGAAAAAAAATTTAATTTACAAAAGTTACTAATTATTGCCGAAATTCTTCGCAAAAATTGAATATTTTGTTGAAAAATAATAAAATTCTTCTCAGGAATTCAATTATTCTCACAAATAATAAAACTCATTGGAAAATTTCAATTTCCAGAAATTCGATTAAAATTTTGTATCAATAATTTTAATCGAATTTCTCGAAAAATGTAATTATTCTTAAAAAATTTATTAAAATTCGTCGAAAGACTTCAATTATTTATAAATTTGTTGTTAACATTCTTTATGGGAATTGAATTTTAAGAAACATGCAATTATTCAATAAATTTTTCATTTTTGGATTTAAATATAATTGAATTTTAGTAGAATTTTTTAATAAAAATTGATTTTTAAATTGTTTTCAGTTAAAATTTTAGATTATAATTGAATATTAAAAGCATTAAAGCTTGAATTTTTAGAAATAATTGAATTTTGAAAAGGGTTTCAAATTAAAATTTTAAAGAATGTGAATTTTTCAATTTATAACTAAAAATTCTGTGGAATTAATTTTTTTTGAGAAAGTTTAATTGAAATTATTTCAAGTTTTTATTTTTTAATATATATATTTGATTGAAGAATTTACGAATAATTGAAATTTCGTAAAATTGAATTGTGTATATTCAAATTGAATTTGAAAATTCTCAAAGAACTTTTTCAAAAATTATTAAAAATAATGCATTTATAGAAGAATTTTAGTTAAAAACTCGAAAAAGAATTTAATTTCGGAAAAGTTACAAATTAAAACTTGCAAAATTGAATTGCATAAATTAAATTATTTTCAAGATTAATAATATTCTTCGAAAAATTAAATATTGTTCAAAAATAATAAAATTCTTCTTGGGAATTCAATTATTTAAAACTCATTGCAAAATTTCAATTATTTTTAATCCAATTTTTTTCCAATTTCTCGAAATTGTAATTATTCTCAAAAATTTTATTAAAATTCGTTGAAAGAAATCAATTATTTATAAATTTGTTGATAAAATTCTTTATGAGAGTTGAATTGAAAAAAAAATTCAATTCAAAAATTTTTTTTTGTATTTAAATAATTTAATTCTGGTTGAATTTTCGAGTAGAAATTGATTTAAAAATGAATTTCAGTTAAAATTTTAATTAATAGTTGAATATTTAAATCAATATGAAGCCTAATTTTTTGGAAATAATTGAATTTTAAAATTAATTTTTTTGAAAAAGTTTATTTGAATTTTTTTATATTATTTAAAGTTTTGATTATCTAATATATTATTTAATTGAAGAATTTACGAATATTTGAAATTTCGTAAAATTGAATACTGTAGACAAATGGATTTGAAAATTGTCAAAGAATTTTTTTGAAAATTATTAAAAATTAATATAGATAATCGATTTAAAGAAGAATTTTAGTTAAAAATTCTTGAAAATAATAATTGAATTGATAATGATTTTATCATTTTTTTCACTCGGTCATTAATTATTATAAAACATGAAGTAATCGATCACTCCGAGTCGAATCACTCCGAACTCGGAGTTATCGATTTCTTCATATTTTATTTATGAAAAAATTTAATTTACAGTTTTAAGTAAAATGTTCTCTTATTTGACTCGGACTGATTATATTTTTGGCTTATTTTAAATCAAATAAATATTTATTTTAAACAAATTTTATTTAGAATAACAAAACATAAATGTTTTCAAAATTGCAAATTTCATGGGTGAAAAATTTGTTTAATTTATTGAGGAATGGGTCGGTATTGAAAATTTGATGACTAGGGAAAATTTATTTTATCTATATATAGAGTTCGAATTTGGAAATCGGGGTTGAATTGGAAGAGACACCCGCAGATAATTCCTGTACAGCTATGTCCCCCTTTCTTCCCCCTTTTTAATCGATCTTTCTCTCCAAATAACAGTTTGAAACCCTAATGCATCGGCTTGTAATATACGAATTCGTAGGTGCGCATACGTATACAGAATTGATGATAAAATGTGTGGGCATTTATGAATCACGCACTAGACCAGCTGCTCTCTCCCGTATCTCTCTCCCCTATCAGCTATAACGTTTTCAACCCCCTCGTGCACATACAGTGTAATGTACGTGCCAATAATATTATTTTTCCTACAACCCCTGATCGAGGGTATATTCCGCCGCCGTCACGTTTCATCTATATATATATATATAAACCGAGTTCTAATCAGAGAGAACAAAACTTTAAGCGAACCACCGACATTTGCCAATTTCAGACTCTATTCATATTGAGAAATGTAGTATATAGATTTATTGCTTCAAAGGGTTCGCTTTTATTTTTCCACTATCCACTCGTTTTCGTCCTTGAGAAGATTATGTTTTTCCAAATTCTATATAGTAAAATTTGTAATTGAAAATTTTGTCAATATTTTATTTTACTTACTTTTCATATATTTATTAAATTTTTGTTTTAGAATTGGTGAGGAAGAAATACACAGACGCGAAAGAGACAACGGTCAGCAAAGAGTGAGTACTTTTCAAATTCATGAATTCCACCCGAGAATTCTTAAATAAAGTTGATAAACATATTGTTTCGCTATTAAGAAAACAAAAGAGCATAAATATCGAAAAAAAATTCCGCCAAGGAGATTAGTTCGTTTCGGTAAATTCGTAAAATTTTGAACGGAAATAACTTTTTGGGTATAACAGCTAAGGTTCGCTAAATTAGCTAACTTTTTTCTCTCTGTGTAACCATAAATATTGTGTCAATGAAAAATTATAGTTGAAAAGTTGACACTTTATTTCGTAATATGTCTGTTAAAATGTGAGAAGTGCGGTGAACTACTTTGCAGATAGTTCATCGACTTTTTGAGAGGTGAATGCCTCCTGCTGATGCGGCTATGTATTTCAAACTGTGTCATAAAATTTTCATCTGCGAGGGAGGAAGACGAGAAAAAAAGAAGTTCCCTTTCCGGTGAACTAGACATTTTTACTGCATTCGGAAACATCTTCTTTCTTGAGAAAAATGTTGAAAAATCATGTCAATACCTTCGACCATATAAACCATTAACATCATAAAATTTAGGATCTGGTTTTGAAAATCATGTCATAAAACACCCAGAGCGCCTCACGCAGGCAGCTGGCATGTATAACAATTTTCCGAATCCTTTCTCGAACGACCTGATAAGTATTAACTATGAAGGTGTGGAGGGGGAATGCTTTTTATATAATATTATTTGTATTTTTATTTTTATGGAAAATTAAAAAATCGACTATTTAAAAAAATGAAAAAAAACTATTTAAAATTAAAAATTTATGAATTTTAATAATTTCTTAAAAATTAAAAATTATACCCTTTCCTGAATTCAATTATTATGTACAATTTTCAAACTAAACTTCATCTCTGAATCAATTAATTTAAATAATTTTCCAAAAGTTCTTCTAGAATTTTATTCAATTATTTAAATACAAAAACTCAATTTTTTTATAATAATTGTAGGTAACTCTCCATAGTTTTTTCTTAAATTAATAAGGTATAATATATTCAAAAAATTATAAAGAAATTCTTACAATTAATTTTTTTTCAAATTAGTTTTTAAATTATTTTAATGTAATTTTTCGAAAATAATTGAATTTCTTAAAAGAATTTTTGTATAATTTAAAAAGACTAGGTAATTAATTTTTTGATGAATTTTAAATAAAAATTATTCAATATGATTGTTTTATCCAAAATGTTAGAAATAATTATAAAATGTTATTATTTTTGTAAGTATTTGAATTCTTGGAAATATGTAATTGAAAATACTGAAAATATTGAATTCTGGAAAATTAGAAGATAATTATCTTCTAATTTTCATTTTTAAATTTACCTTTAAAGATTTTTTGTTAAAAATTTTGAGAATTTAATTATTTTCAAAATTTGCAATTAAAATTCTTCAAAAGTTGATTTTTAAAAATTCTAACAAAATACTTGAAATAAATTAATTATTTTCAATTAAATTTTACAAAATTTCCAGTATTCAAAAAGATTTTTATTATAGATATATTTGAAAAATTTAATTTAATATTAAAAAGTGATTCAAGAACAATTTTTGAACGATTTGTTTATAGTCATTTTTCGCATTATGAAAATAAAAAAAAGTTGCACAATGTACATTTTGTGTCAAAATCAGTCTAGAGATCACAATTCTAATTCAAATTAAACAAATTTTTTTTAAATCTTCGTTACTAAATTCTCTATCGATTCCTCGATGACAATTTTTGTTTATTTATATTTATTTGTTTATAGCAAAGTATGAAAAAATCGATATGTGGCTATAAAATAAAGTTTTTAACTTTTAAAAAAATTTTAAGTACATTAGAAATCATATTTTAGTAATCCTGAAGTAAAAAGTGTTATATAATTAAACTTTTATTAAATAAACAATACATTAATTAATTAACTTTTGGATAAAAATAATATAATTTAAAAAATTCCATTTTTTAGTAAATTTCTTCGAGTTTTTTATTCGAAATTTTATGGGTAATTAACATAAAACATTCAATATTAATTTTATAAATTTTTAAATTGTTTAAACCATTTTTTATTATTAATTAAAATATTTTTTTAACATTAACCAACAAAATTTTAATTTTTTTACATTTTTCAACATTTTACGCAGGAAATAATTAGAAATAATTAAATACAAAAATAAAAGGTATTGTGTAAATATTTAACAATTGTTTAAACAAATTAATTATGTTTTTTGTTAAACTTTATTTTAAAAAAAATAAAATTTCGATTTTAAAAAATTTTTTTAACAAAAAATGTAAAAATTAAAAAGAATGAAATGTTTATTACTTAAGCCAATGTAATTTTTTAAAATAACAAAAATAATTTGTTTAAACAATTTTGAAATTAGATATAAGGAAATTCTTTTCATAGATACATATTCTTACAATTTCTCAATATAAATGTTTTATAAATCAAAGTAAAATGTAAATTAGTATCTTGATTCTATTAAAAGTTAAAAATATTATTAATTAATTTGTTTAAATAATTATAAAAATTATCATTTGCAAGCCACATTTTTGAGTTTAGTTCATTTAAAAACAAAAAATTTCAAGATTAAAAAAAATCAAAATTTAAATTTTTTAAATAAAATTTAACAAAAAACATAATTAATTTGTTTAAACGATTGTTAAATATTTACAGAATACCCTTTATTTTTTGTATTTAATTATTTACTGCGTAAAATGTTGAAAAATGTAAAAAAAAATTAGAATTTTAGTTAATGTTAAAAAAATTTACAAATAACAATAAAAAATTGTTTAAACAATTTAAAAATTTATGAAATTAATACTGAATGTTTATATGTTAATTACCCATTAAATTTCGGGTGAAAAACTCGAAGAAATATACTAAAAATTTAATTTTGTCAATTATGTTCTTTTATCCAAAAGTTAATTAATTAATGTATTGTATATTTAATTAAAGTCTAATTACTTTTTACTTCAGGAACACTAAAATATGATTTCTAATATACTTAAAAATTTTTTTAAATGTTAAAAACTTAATTTATAGCAACATCGATTTTTTCATACTTTGTTATAAACAAATAAATATAAATAAACAAAAATTAAAAAAATTGTTATAAAAGAATTTAAATATTTATCAAAATATTTTTATTCTTATGTTGAATTTTATAAAAAATTTTAAATAATTTATTTCTTTCAACTAATTTTATGCAAATTCTAATTTAAATAATTGAATTCCTAAGAAATTTTTATTAGTCATGAAAAAAATTGAATTCTCACGAAGATTTTTGCAAACATTTTTTTAAATAATTGAATTATGTGGAAAAATTTTTATGAAAATAGTAGATGTTGAAAATCATTAAATAGCGAAAGGTTTGAAAAATAATTAAATTTTACAAAGAATTCTTTCAAAATTTTTGACAAAATAATTGAATATCTGTGTGGAATCTTATTAGATTTTTTTTTAAAAATAATTGATTTCCTAAAAAGCATTTTATTATTTATGAAAATAATTGATATTCTTGTGAACGATTTTATTAGAATTTTTGAAAATAGTTGACTTTGCAAGAAGAACTTTATTACTTTTAAAAATAATTGAATTCTTTTGATGAATATTGTTATTTTTTGAATGCAATTAAATTTTGCAAAGAATTTTATTATAATGTCTGAAAATAATTGAATTTTCGGGACTAATTTTGTTATTTAACTTTAATAATTGAATTCTTTCGAAAAATTATTTATGTGAATAATTGAATTCTTGTGCGAAGAAGTTTATTAAAATCAAAATGAATAATTGATTTATTTCAAAAAAATTTAATTAAAATTGTTTTTTACATTATACATTTGGTCCCACGATGCACCATGATAAATTTCTTTCCTTTTATTTTAATAATTGTTCTTTAAAATAATTTTGTGTTAATTCTTTTCGTTGTTCGATTTTGATATGAAGTTAAAGTCCACAACGTTGATCAACGAAAAAAATTTATTTACATTCAATTATTATTATTTATAATTTATAATATTTATAATTGTAAAATAATTGTCAATAAAAAAGAAACATACATTTTTTTCCAAATCTTTTTGAGGCAATATTGCTGCGTTATCTATAATTAATTTACTTAGTGAACAATTTTTTTTCGTTGATCCAACGTTGTGGACTTCAACTTGGTATATTTTGATAAAAAGAAAAGAATTTCCAAGCAGATTATTAAATTAATAATTAAGAACTGCTGAACTCTTTGCTTCCCACAAAAAAAAAGAGGTCCCGCAAGAAGAAAAAAATAATTCCCACACAGGCAACAAAAAGGGTTGTAGGAAGTGTTGTTGTTCATCCTTTAAACCTTCCGTTTTCATTTAAATCGCCGACGTATTCCAAGTACGGGGGATCTATTGATGGGAAAGGAAAAAGACGAAGCTCATCTTCCGGCATGCGCAGCGAAAAAATTTCTGAATGATCAAAATGTTGATGGAGCCGTTTTCATTCTATAGGGAAATGATCCCAATACTTGAATGAGTTTAGTTTACGGTACTATATATTATATTATGGTGTGGCGTCTCTTGGCACACGTGCGATTTAAATCTGTCGCCGCACTTTTCATAAAGATTCTTGCGGGATCAAATTGAGGCACACGATAAAATAAAATTCTCTTCACATATAATACAATATACAATTTTTTTTGAATTGAATGATTTTTTTTTTATACAAAAACCGTCACATTCCTTGTAGTCTTATAACCGAAGCCGATCGTTTTTTATATGGAGCCCATGGCGCCTGCCGAATTTGTCGTTCCGCGAAATAAGAATCCAAGCTTTTAGTTATTGGTTCCTCTTCAATGTTTTTCTTGGAATTTTTTTTTTTTTTTTTGAATGAGCGAGGGCGGCGGCTTCTTCATCCCCCGCGGGAAAGGGGATCAAAGACGAGCATACACGCACATACATAAAGGGAAAATTTTCAGATAGCAACCACAATGGATAGCTTGGGTCGAATTCCCATATACATCATATAGGTG